TTCCCGATGATGATAAATTTAAAATTGATGGAGAAAATAAATTTGTATAATATTGTATACCAAGAAGATATTTTAAACGTTCGGCTAGATCAATTAAAAATAAAAATAAAAAAAATAATATTTTTGAAGTTTTTCTTTTTGTCTTACTAGTTATGTCTCCATTCATTTGTTCAGATCCATAAGTTTTTCGATGAAGTAACATTGTTTCAGTAAACCAATTTGGAAAGATTGATGACATGATGAATATATATATATATAAATAAATGAATATTAAAGAAGTGAGATTTAAAAAGAGTTTGACTTGTATCTTAATATAAGCTTAGATTCCATTGGATGAAAATGAGAGAAGAAGAAGGAGAGAAGAGCAAAAATTTTTGTATTGGTTCTTGACTTTTTTCTGTTCGATAATAGAAATAATTCATCATCATTGGATGATTGTAGTCAATTCATTGACCTTTTTTTTTTCTCCCTTGAAAAGAAAAAAAAAAAAAAAGAAAACGATAATTTCTTATTGGTATAATGAGCAGCTTGTATTCAACTTTGATTGTTAAGTAATTATTTATCTTGTTTATATCTACGAAGTGATTAATAGTCATTATCTATTCATCAAGCAAAAGTAATGAAGCAATTTAGTCAATTCAATTTCTATAAAGTTCATTTCATTCTTTTTTTTTATTAAATATACATAGACATCTTGTCGTTGACAAGTAGCAAAGAACAAAAAAAGGATGAAAGTTATGTTATGATGTTTGTTGTGCATATGAATTCATGTTAGAATTATTGATACTTTTAAGCGATTATGGAAAAGTGATATACAAATATAGTAGTTGATATGTAGATGAGTAAATAAAGACGTACGTTGAAAATGTTTTGTATGTGTGTGTATGTTATTGATTTGCCTGTATTTTTGAAAAAAAAAGAATATCGGTCAATAACAAAAGATATAATGTATGACGATTGGAAATGGAATAACAGATAGAAGTTGCATTAAAATGCACCGAAACTCGTGACGCCTTCTCTGCTTTTGAAAATAGTCCACGCAGTGTTTCTTTTTCTGGTACTCAATCACTCTATGGTCGTCGTACCTCTAGTGCTGAATTACACCTGTAAAAATTGATTAACTAATGTAATGATTAGTTGGATGAAGAAGGAAAATAGCAGTTAAAATAAATTTTCCTTTCCATAAAATAACATCCCATCTATTGAGTTTTACATCTAATATTTATATCGTAGATATTCCGTGTTAATATTAACTTCTTGATTTTTATCTCATTTAAATGAATCAATCAATAGGAAGTAGAACATTCTTCTTAGTTATCATGAAAAATGAAAAAAATTGTAGTTGATAATAGTAAAAGAGTTTGTTGTGACATTCTTGTCACACCTATTTTTTTTACAGTATAATAGTCGATGTGTCAGTGATTACTGCTATATTTAGAAATCTCACTCTTATTGTGTTTACAGCTGAATGAAAAAAAAGAAGTTATGTACTGATAATTACCTTTTTTGATAAACATATCGGTAAAACTTCTACCAGTGAATACTTTCTTTTTTGCAATTCTTCTTTCTCTTCAATGTGAACACACGTACTATGTTTTTTTGACTTTTCTCTATACAATCTATCATGTATTTCATGTGTGTGCTATGGCTTAGTATACTTTTTCTATTAATCTACTATTGTATATATGAAGAAAATAATGACATCATGACACGATAGTTTAGTTTACAAGTAAAAAAATAGAATTAATTATTGGATTTGAATCAAAATTAATTGATATTGAAGTAAAACGAAAAAAGAACAAAACAGAATCTTGTGTCCCTTCGTAAGACTAATTTAGACGAGAGATATTCTGAAAGCAATTCTTCATTTTCACGACAAGCCATGCATCAACTCTCTAAACCAAACACCTCGATGTAATGAATGTTTTTAACGATCAACATAGTATTTTCAATGAAGAAGTTTTCCTGTATGTTTAAGTTATCTTTCTTTATTGAAGCCAGATAATGTCAGTGTTTCTATCACAGATGTGAACTGTAAATATCTGGTTAAATTCAAATAATTTCACACGAATATCTAAATAATCAATCGAAAATTATAACATAATAGTTTACGAAATACTCAACACGAAGTTTCAGAAGAAATGAAATAATCTATTCATAAATTTTACACAATAATCAAATATTATAGAAATTTTATATATTAAGCAGACAAAATACTTTGATAGATAGTTGTCATGCTGATGATAGTTATTTCAATGGTGAAACCAAGTCATTCTATTTTAATTGAATGAACAAAATAAAATATATTCGATTTCTACTAAAGCATTTACTTATTGTTAGACGTGCCTACTAATACAAATAAAAAGCAAAACTTCAACAATCATAAAAATAACCAATTTATGAAATTATTCAAAGGGATGATTAATGTCTAACGAAGAAACATTCTCAGATGTTAAAAAGCTTTTGCCTCCATTATTTATGCACTACTTAGTAGATCACTAGAGTATGAAAGTTGTTATTTAGTTGACGAGGGAAGCTCTTCAGTTGTTAAATCGCTTTTTTCGACTGAGATGATGTTCATTTGATAAGTGCTGCAGAGTAATAAAAAAGTTAAGAATGATTTGGTTTTCCGGATCTTCGTTTTCGAAACTTTACTGGATCTTTCAGAGAAAAACTTTACATGAACATAATTTTTAATGAGATTAGTTGATTGTGCAACTAGTATTTTCTTTTTGAAGATGTAATTATATGAATAAAATTTGCTTTTTGCACATGAGAGATCAGTACTCATCCAATGAACATCGTTCCGACCGAAAACATGAACTTTGGAAAACTAGATATGTGAGAGCTGTGATGTCCAAAGCACTTTATATTCAAATTAGTTTAATTGAGGTATATGTTTGTACAAAAGTTCTTGGTCAAAATTCTAAATTAAAAATATTAACTAGAAAATTGCAATCGTACAGGTAAAATCCATTAAAGAACTTCAATATCTCAGCTAAGTAATAACTTGCATCCATATTCTTGTAGGACATTTGTAGTCTAATGGTTCTCTAAGTATTGCACAAAATGATAGTTGTTAAAAATTATTTCAGAATATCATACAAAGAATTTTATGGTATAACAGAATAAAAATCAAGTTTTCAATATACCAGGAGAAAATTGTTGAATGTTTAATTATATATTTTTTAAAATTTCAATATTCATTAAATTCTAACGAGTGATTAATAGAAGGTATAAGAAAACAGTATTCCCATGTCTTTCGTCGGTATGATGAGAATATAGAAACAAATTATTAAAATGAGAATTTTGTTTTCATTCTTTTAGAATTACTCTGATTATCATGATAAGAATTTTATTTCATTATTCAAATTATAGATTCCAAGAGAGACGTATAGTAAACTATCCAAGATCATTTAACGCAGTAATGTAGCGCCAAAAAAACATCAAAAGAGTCTACAGATATCAAATTTAAACATTTGACCATTCAGCATAATGTGCGATATAACGACGCTAGTATCAACAAATATGCAATATAAGTCTATATGTTCCGAACCCTTAGGAACCTAAAAAACAATCAAAATTCATGGAATTAATCATACGACAATAATCAGTCTTTGGTATGAATTTCCGATTGTATCATAGAACTTCATTCTATTCGTTGATCATGTAATTGCATTTTCATAACTGTCAAAACCAATTTTTTCCTTAGGAGAAAAGAAACTGTCTCTTTTATTGCCAAGATTGTTGTGATTGCAATCAGCTTTCTTTCTTAATTTGATGTATTGCACATTTAAATCGTTCAATTAATGTTTCTTTTTTTGGCTTTAGATGTTCTTCAATTTATGATATAAAACATAAATCATCTGATATTTTTGAGTTTGCTAATGTTTAGATCTAGGTTATTAGAACAACCAATAGTCTTTAGTGATGACTGATATGAAATAATCTGTACATTACTATTGTATCCTTTTTTAACTAATAGAGACCAGTAACTTCTTAATAATCTCGATATAAATTCAGCAGACTAGAATGTGACATAGGCACTCGTGCATGTCCTAAATTAAGCGAAATTTACATAAAGCAAAGAACATAAACAATGAATAACTGTTAGATAATCTTTTGCGAAAACTTTTCCCTATCCTTATAGAATGATGTCATTTTTAAACGGGTACCAAAATTAATAATTGGAACGCGCTGTTAAGTAATCCGAGGGAAAATTTTGTGACGCTTAAATCAATTATTAGTTTTATCTGATAAAAAATTATTTATAATATTTACTCAAATAGAAAAAAGTTAGTTCTTTTTAGAGAATTAAAAAACAAATCTTTAAAAAACAGAGAAATTGTTTGAATAGATAAAAAGATGCTCAAGCTGTGCCAGAAATACTGATGAGATAAGTACTAGAGTTGATACTCGTCATTTCAGATCATATTGAGCTTTTAAGGAGGTCTCCGTAAGACAAAAAAATAGTGCAAAAGCATTCATTCTTATGAGACGATTCTTCTTTATCAGTCATTTATTAAAAAATATTCGTTTATTAATCAATATTAGGCAATAATACAATCTGATCTTATTTTTTTCGATTATATATTTAATTTATTACTAATATGATCATTTACTAAATATCTACATATGCTCTTGTTTGAAAAATATGCTACAAAGAGCTTTAACATACGATACAATAACAACAACAACAACAACAAAAAAGAAACAACGTAAATTTATGACACAACATCAACACTGGTTGCAGACGTGAGACTACAAATTACAAGATACATAATATATCTTTGAAAGAAAAATAATAAAAAGCGAGTTTAAAAAAAAAAGATAAGACGAGATTATTTTGATATATCTATATTGACTATATAAAGAGACTGTGCTCGAATAATTGATATGCAATGCTGAAATAACGTGACAAGATTATCGTCAATTTTTTAAAATGTTTATTCAAATACAGAAAAAAAGTAGTATTGTTATCGATGACTTCAAAAATAAATTCAATCAGAATAGATAATACGTAATGTATTTGTAGTACCATAACCAGGACGCTAAAAAGAAAAACTATGATTAAGAAATAATTATTAATTAAATAATTTCTTACCCATCCCGTTACAACAATAACAGCATCACCAGTTGAAACAAAACCACGTGCTTTGCCAAGTTTTAGAGCATCCATAACACGAGCATCGACATCAAGTAACCATTGACTCATAGTCAATGCTTGATTTGCTGATATATGATGTTGTTTAAATAGAGGCTCTCCTTCTTTCTCATAGTCTGAGTCTACAGAAGAAGAAATTAAAAATTAAAAAATTTAGAAAAAAAAACTATTCGTCATATCACAGAAAGTTTTCTCATCGTCGTCTGAAACAAACAAGACAATATCAATCAACACATAAAGATCTTTTTTTTCTTTTCATTTTTCTTACCTTCAAAAGGAAGCGCCGATTGCGATTCGTCTTCTGTTTGAAAAAGAAGAAGAAACATAAAATGTTGTTTCTTGGCATATATTTTGTTCTTATTGTATTTAACTTACTTCGATTAGCTAAAAATCAAATAAAATAATGAAATAGAAAATAAAGTTTTTTGAAAGATATAACTTACCGACAACATACACTGGACAACAACCACGATATAAATGCATATGTCGAGCTGTTTTTAAAGATCGTGTTACAACCATTATAACTGCTCGAGGACGATATTGGGCAATAAGTTGAGCTGATCTATAGGAGAAAAAAACGATTGAATTAATAGCAATATAATTTATGAAACGATTTGTACATGAAAAGAAAAAATCAAGAATTCAACTTGATACGTATGATATGCAGTCTTCATATGAAAAGTTGTTGCTCTGTTTTAGCACTTTTTATTTGAGTCATATACCAAATGAAAGATATTTTCTTTCCGCTATCGTATGACAGATAGAATCATTACGAAATTCCCCTTCTATGGTGTTATAAAAGCAAAGATTTACTTCGAATGACATACTTCAATAATTCTCTTGAGATTTTACAAAATGATACTATTACAGAGAACTTAACTTGCGGATTAGACACTTCACTCAAACACACGATATTCGAGAATGCTAAAAATTGCTCTTTTCACCTGATATTTGACCAATTTTCATCATAATAATTAGACTTTCTCTCAAAACAAATGATATAGTTGAAATCAGTATACAAAACTGAGTCGATCTATTCATGTCAAAAAATGATCTATTAACTTTCATTTCCATCAGAATATTCAGTTCTGGTCTCCTCATTAATGTGGTAAAAAAATGAAATCAGTCGAGATGTCAACAATAAAAACGAGATTTTAATTGCATTTATCTTTTTTTTTGACAAGCCCATAAGAGAACCCAAGACTGAATTTTTCAAGGAAAATTAGATTTGATAGGTTGTTTTGTGATAAACATAGATTAGGTCTTTTTTTTATGCCGATTTCAAAACTATCATCGGTTTTGAGAGATCTTACCCACAAATAAAACTGGGTGTAATAGTAGTATTTTGTAGATTTTCAAAAGAATTATCAAATACTATGTAATTTAAAGTGAACGGTTGCTTTTATTACATGATAGAAGAAGTATTTTATCATGAATACTTTTCTACTATAAATACCAGTGAACAATATCATCTAAAGAAAAAAAAGGATATTTTGTCATACTCCTATATGTCATGCAATAATGAAAAGAATGATCTTTCATTTGGCATATAACTCAAATTAAGACTACTGAAAATTGCGCAAAAACTTTTCACATGAACATTGCATATCACGATCGTATAGGGAATAGATAATATCGAGCTTTAAGTCATGGGCCCGTCATCGAAATAAGGACTAACGGACTAATTCGAATGACAATCAACTCTTGACAGCCGAAATGAGTGTTGGGAAAATATGAAACTCATTTTCGAGAATAATTAGTAGTTATACAAAAATTGATTAATTTAAAAGACAAAATTGTCAGTTATTGTGAGTAAGCAAATATTTAGTAAGCTACTTATGTGTCTACACTCTATTTTCGATTGGATACCAATGAGTACGATCTGTCAGCTTTGGAACCAACACCACGGCTCATATTCTAAAAGTAGCAGCCAACTATGATCTGATTGTTATAGAAATAATTGACAAAAAAGTATTTGTTTCGTATCTTCGGAGTGGCTTGAAGACTGGGACTGTAAAAAAAAAACGTTCAATTTTAGAAAAAGTCTTCCCATTAACCTTCTGAATCATCTCCATCCCGATGGGCTTTACTAATGAATGTTAAATATTTAATTTGATTATTAGACAATATTTGAAAAATTTACAAGTTTCACGTTGTACAAAACAAAAAAAATTATGAAGTGTGAGGGTTTTCAAAAAAATAGTTATAATCATGTCTTCTTTTTATGTTGAGTTATATTCTAAATTATCCTTGATATTTTCGTGTCCGTAAAAAGTATGTTCTATTTTATCGAAAACGATATTAAATCATTTGATTTATTTTATTATATTTTCTTTTTCCAGACGTGAGAGATAATTTCTTATCATTTTAGTCGACGAAATGCATGATAAATACTTCGATTATATTTACTTATCTATTTGTTTAACACTTATCGTTGTTTTTTTTCTTGATTGCTACATGATAAATAAAATTGCTTTTGCGTATGCATTTAAAACGAAGTAATTCTTGAATAAAAACTATAGTTTTCAGTTTTATTTTCTCTACATAAATTATATTTCAGTGTCATATCACATTGTTGTTCCTGATGATTATCTATTCGAATGAAAATACCTTGTTTTTCTATTAATTGTCTATATATATATATATTCCTTCTCTACTTTTGTCGATTTATTTATGTATAGAGCCATCAATAAAGAACATCCAGCTAAAATTCACATTTTTTGACCCTTTGAACAATGTGCGTTTTTCACATGGTAGACGGATATGTAACTTTCGTTCTCGAAAACAGCTTTATTTTACTCAGAAGTGAGAGTATGCCACTCGGAAAACCACTTTTAAGAATATAAAGCTTTTTTTCGACGAAAAACAGCAGTGAGGAATCTTAGGCTACATTTTTTTGAGAAAAAAGTTTTGGTTACAAAATGTTTTATGTAGTACATGATTCGATATAGTTTTTACACGCTGATTTCGAATATACTATTGATTTTCAATAGAAATGCTTTGAAATCAGAAAAAATGAAGTTTAACAGAACAACCAAGACTTTTTTGAAAATCTGCTGTACAATTCAGAAGCGTTTATGTCAACTCTAGTGATAGGCTTAGTCATTCCAAAAATTAATTTTGAGAAAACCTTTTTTTCTCAAAAATCGTACAGTCCAATTAAAAGATTTCTTTGATGATTGGTACTAGACGATATACAGATTCAAAATATCTATTAAGGGTACCTACCAAGTGATTTAATTTTGTCAAAACTTGACTTTCTCATCAGTATCAGTGTTTCCAGGCTAATTTTTGAATTCCGATTTTTTCACACTACTTAAAATTGATAACGAAAATTTTTACACTGTTAAATAGAATATGTGTATTAATTCCTATTTGAATCGATAGAAGAAGGACAATCGGCTCCTCTTTTCGTAATTTTTTCTCGATTTTTTGCGAAACAAAATCTAAAAGAAGTGTTGAAGTATAGGAGTAGAATTTGAAGTCACCTTTCTTTCCTCCCACAAATGCGACGAACTTCTTATTATATTTGTTTAGCCATTGCATTTTGTTTCACATTTGACTTCCATATGGATTGTGCTCACAGCTTTCGCAATAGTAAACGTCCAAACAAGAGCCAATATGAGCTGTAACAAGCTTCTACACATATTTTGTGACCATGTTCAACTCCCTTCCTTTATTCCTGAATGTTCTTTATAGATATCTCCTATGAGTACGCACGATTTTCGTTTCTATGAAAAAATTCATCTACGTCGATTGCCTAATTGGAATTCTTATTCTTTTCTCTTATTTATGATCTAGTTTTAGAAAAACAATACATGCATGAATTTTTTCAGGAAATAAAATATAAGTGCACTAAATTTATCCTTCTTCTTCTTCTTTATGACATATGTTTAAAATTATGTATTAAGTGCGTATGATTGATTCTATTGTGAATAAAAATATTTAATCATTTTTTTTTTGTTTTTTATTTAACTACTATCAAGTAGGTCTAGTGTAAATAAAATTCTATTTTTATAGTTGATTATAAAAGCTAAAGAAAGATTAGTCTATTAAGGCTTTTAACAGATATTTATTTCAAACTCATTTGAACTCAGCTCAATGTCATAAAGAACGAATTAAAATAAAAATGCACTCGAACTTTTCGTACAATTTTTTTTAGTTTCATGTTGAAATATAATCTAGATAATTGTTTCATCATATGTTCTTCTTTAAAGATGATGAAACACGCAAACCTATCATTATCACTCTAAATTTTAAGAAAAACAAAATGTTTATTATTTCTTACCGTCCTGAATGTGTTAGTACAATAATAAGTGAAGCATAACTTCTAAAAGCTGCTTCAACAGCAGCAATAGCTACTGATTGCATTTGACCCTAAATATAATTAAATTTCTATTGAATTTCTTTGAAAGAGAAAAAAAAAGATTTATTTACCAATGGTGGTTTAGTAAAATGACTAAGATTTTCAAAAAGTTCTCGATGAAATAAGCAAGCTTCAGCTTCTCGAACAATCTTAATTAAATTCATAAAATTATTTACTTAAGTTTTCTTTTTCTTTTAAATAAACCTCATGCATTAATTGAATACATTGAATAGGATATTTGCCTTTGGCTGTCTCACCAGATAACATAATACAATCAGCATTATCCAAAACTGCATTAGCTACATCACTGACTTCAGCACGAGTTGGACGAGGATTTTTTGTCATACTTTCTAACATCTTAATAATGAACATAAAATATTTTGATTTATTTATTTTTTTTTTTTAATTTAAAATTTATACTTGTGTAGCACAAATAACAGGTTTACCAGCTAGATTACATTTAGCAATCATCATTTTTTGTGCAACAAAAACTTTTTGTGGAAGAATTTCAATACCCATATCACCACGTGCAACCATAATACCATCAGCTTCTTCAAGAATTGAATCAAAACTTTATGAAAAGAAATTCAAATTGATGATATTTCTTTAATATTTATTTATACTTGTGAATTCCTTGTTGATTTTCAATTTTTGCAATTATTTTAATATTTTTTCCTTTTTCACCAAGAATATGTCGAATGACACGAATACCATCAGCTTGACGTATAAAACTTGCAAAAATTATATCGATCTAGAAAAAGACAAGACAAAATAGGAATTATTTGAAATAAAATTTAAAAAATTCAATTTTTGTTTTCTTACATCATTTGCTACAGCAAATTCAAGATCTTGTTTATCTTTTTCTGATATAGCAGGTAAATCAATTGGTACACCTGGTAAATTAACACCTTTACGACCACCTAATAGACCTCCATTTTCAACTTCACATATAAGATAGTCATTTCCTATAAATACACAAGATTCAAATAATATAAAACTAAAAAAATTAATTTTACTAACCAACTTCTTTAACAAGCAATGAAAGAAGACCATCATCAATAAAAATTCGATTTCCTGCTTTAATAACATGAACTATATTTTTATAATCAACATATAAATTATCTATAGAAGATTTATCTGCAAAGGTTTTATCTGTTGTTATACGAACAATCATTCCATTTTGTAAATCAAGTTCACTATTAACACCCTTAAAAAAAGAAAATTCGTTTTGTTTATTTATTGTTTTTTTCAACAAAGTTTAAAATCTTACATCAGCTAAAATGCCTGTTCGAATTTCTGGACCTTTAGTATCTAATGCAATTGCAACACATCGAAATTCATCTGGTCCTTCTGCTAATTTTTCAGCTATACGAACATTTTCAATACTTTTTTTGTGATACTAAAGCAATAATCAATGAAGTAATGAAAAAAAAAATGTTTATCTTTTATTTTACTTCATATGATCCATGTGAAAAATTTAGTCGAGCTATATTCATTCCTGCTTTGATCATTTTTGTAAGCATTTCAACACTTTGTGATGCAGGCCCTAGAAATATAAATAATTGAATAGATTATTTATGATAATAGATTAAAGGCAAAATATACCTAGTGTACAAATAATATTCGTATGACGTGTATTCCATCTAGATATTTACAATAAAAACAAAAAAGCAATTGAATAAAACAAAATAAAAGATAAAAGTAAAGTTTTATATTTACGGATCTGAATCAATATCGAGTAGTGTACGTTGTTCAAGACCATTGACTGCTGTTTCAGCAAATGATTGATGTTCATAAACGGCTCGAGTATTTGGTCCTTTATGTTTGAGTTCTTCCTTGAGTTGGCCACGGACACTCATCTAAAGTAATGTTTTTTTTCTTTCTTTATAGGAATGATTTCTTGTTTGAATTTTTATGATATGTTAATCGTTAACTTAACCTTATTTTTTCCCATTGAACAAGACAAAGACATTCTCTTATTTCTCTCTCACAAAAACATCTACATGCGTTCGACAATTGTATTTTCTATACGATAGTACAGACACACCAAAGACAATAACAACAATAAAGAAAAGAAAACAATCAAATATTCTGTACAGTTTTTAAACCTGTACAGACTTGAAACAGTCTAAGAAGGAAAAAAAAAAAAAACTTTTGCTTTTTCACTTATTTTCTTAAGGTTCAATTTCCCCAAGAAAAACAGTCTTATCTGATGAACATGATGCAATAATTGGTTCATTTGGATGAAAATCTACTTCATTAACACTACCAAGATGACCCGGTAAACGATAAAGAATTTTTCTTGTTGCTATATCCCAAATATAAACATGTTTATCAGCACTTCCACATGATATACGTTTTCCATCAGGTGACCATGAAACACGTAAAAGATTTTTTTCAAAATTATGTTGATGTCCTTGGAATAATTTAATACAACGATCAACACCATTAAAATATGGTCTTATATCCCAAATACGTATTGTTGAATCCATTGAATTTGATGCTAAATATGATCCATCATAACTTAATTCAAGACCTGTTGGACTATCAAGATGACCATCAAGACGTAAAGATACATCTTGTTTACGTAAATCCCACATTTTAATTGTATTATCAATACCACCAGAAAATACAGCATCTGATGATGCATTAAAACAACATGATAATACTTGATATGCTGCATCAAATGTCATAACTTCACCACGTTTACGTCTATCCCAAACTTTTAAAGTACCATCATCTGAACCTGTACATATCATATCTTTACCTATACGTGAATAACCAATTGAATTAACAAATGATTGATGTCCTTTTAACTTTTTAACACGTTGACATGTTGTGATATCCCATATATAAGCTAATTTATCTAAATAAAATCGAAGAGAAAACTAATTTATATTTAGACATGTTTTATTTTTACGAACCAGTAGCGCATGAAGCAAGTTCACTACCATCTGGACTCCATTGTAGTTCCATAATAGCACCACCATGTCCCGTTAATACATACCAATTATAACATTGATCATAAACATTCCATAAGAAAATTTTTCTATCAAATCCAGCTGATGCCATAATTTCTCCATCAGCATGAAATTTACAAGAAAATATTTCACCTTCATGTCCTTGTAATAACATAATTGGTGCTGCTAATTTTGATGTACGTGGATGAGTTGAAACAATTTGTTGATTATTTTCACTTGTACGAGCTTGTTTATATGGTGGTTGAGGACCAATTGGTACAAGACTTCCACTTTCATTTGGACGTTTGAAACTCATTATTTACAGAAAAAATGATAATGTATATTAGAAATCGAGAGAAAGAGTGAAGAAAAAAAAGGTAACGATTGAAATCTAGAGAATCGAATAATTTTAGTAAATATATTCATTATCAATTAAAAGAACAAAAAACATTTCCAATTAACACAACTTCTTTTCTGTTTTACTTCTATGTAAAAAAAAATAATAACAAGAAAAATAATCAAACTTAGCTAACCTTCATAGTTCGATGCAAATTATACAGCTGTGAATGAAGAGATATTATAGTTGGTTCTGTTGTATAGTTTTTCATTGGATAACCGTTCATTATGAAGTATTATGTTTTAAGAGGTATGGTCAGTACAAAGAGAAAAACGGAATTGTGTGATGAATGATGATAAAGTGAGACGCTAAGAAGATGACGACGACAATATTCTTTTTTTTCATTCTCTTTCTACTTTTTCCCCTTTCTTTCTTTTAGATTTGGCGTCCGAGAATAAATACATCTAATTGCATCTACGCATAGTGTATGCTATTGTTTTATAAGTAAAAAAACACAACATAAGAGTATGTTGAATAAAACAAGACCACATGTCTTTAATTGTTTAGAAAGCTATACAAAATTAAGATAAATCAATGTAAGAAATATGTACGTGTGTATACAGAGGGATTATTTAATGATCACGAAACAAATGGTGAACAAACGTACGCATGAAGGTCGAGTATAGACATAGAAAACAAAGTTTGGCTGTTTTAGTACACACACACACATACCATTTTTATTAAGTAACCTTTATCAAAAATTGAATTAGTCGTTTAGACTCATTTTTTCATGCAAATAGATAAATAAATAGATAGGAGAATTTTTCTATGCTCTAGAGACTCCGATACTTAACAGTAATGATTGAAATAAATTCCAATGAAAAAGAAATCAAGTATTTAGACTACTACTACCTTTTGTTTTGATTTTGTTTTGTGTGTATGATAATCAGCGTTTAATGACGAACGTTGCTCTAGGATGATAGGAAACAAATAACTGTTTGAATACGTTTTTTGCGAAGAAAAAAAACGCTGTTTTTCTCCTAATCATTGCATTTCCTCTACGAGAACTTTGTCGCAGGCGAGAAAGAACAGCAAGAAAAAAAAAAACGTCCGATATTCTACGTCACTATTGATCTATCATTTCTAATAAAACAAAACACAAGATTATCTTTCCAACAAGTTCTCTTTTTATTCCTTGTCGTCAAAAATATAATTTATATGCAATCCAAAAGAGGAAAAAAACATTTGAGTACGCTTTCATTTAATTAAATCTTTGAAGAATAGCATGTTGAACACTTTGTAACTGTGTTGATACTTTTGATATAGCAGCATAACGATGTAAACCTTGTATATTTTGTTGTTGATCAAGTTCAAGTACATGATTAACTTGATCAATTTTTCCTGTTATCGTTTGATCAAGTATACATGATATTAATAAACTTTCAACATCATCCATAGGTATATTTAATTCTTGTGCAATAAATTCAATACGTATTTTTGTATAAGGTTTTATTAATTTTACAAGAACTTTTGTACGTATTGTACGTAAAAGTATTTCAATATGTTCACGAATAAATTGATCATCCATAATAGCTTGACGATTTGTACGTAAAATAGTTTCAAATTCTTTAATGTCGTTATTTTGATAGGCACCAACGAGATTTGTCATAGCTTGTATTTCAGGATCTGTTTTATATGGCTTAGCTTCTTGAGAATCAAATGGATTTATTGTTGAACGCATAAGCATATTAGCAAGAACAAGATATTTTAAACATGTTGTACGACGTGGTGAACCAGATTCATCATAACTTTTGAATGCTTCAAAAAAATCAGTATGTGCTCTTTCATATTCTTGTTCACGTAAATGCATTTTTCCACCGCATTCTCTTATAACACCTTAAATAAATGAATTATTTGTTTTGTTTTTTTAATTCAGAAAAATAACAAACCCATGATAAGTGGATGTGGTATAGCTGCTTTTATATGTAATGATAATTCATATAATTGCTTTAGTTTTTTAGTATTTTTTTGTAATGTATGCATTTGAATTTCTAATGCATAAACTTCAAGTAATTGTGTACCTTTACGCTGATCATCGGTACCTTGACAACAAAAAATATAATAACAAAAAATTTTAAAATAATTTTCTTTTACCTTCTGATGTTTGACATGATTTATGTAATTCTTTAAGAATTTTTTGTAATTTAACATAATCTTGTTGTTCTTCATATAATTTACCTAATTTTAAATTTGTTTTAAACCAAAGACGTTCATTTTTTGTTTCTTTTAATGCACCTAATGTTGTTTCATAGAAATTTTGTAATAAATCCATTTGTTTTGATGTTGATATATAATCAAGAATTGAATTTATTGATTTTTCACTTACATTTCGTGTTACGGCCGATTTAATATAAGTCAATCTAATAAATTTAAAAACAAAAAGAATAAAATAATCAATCAAACTATATTAACACAAATTTCGAAACAAGACTAGTTTACATATAAACAATGATTGTGATTGATGTTCACGCTAGAATTTAAGACCGATGAGTGTAAGCTGAATAAATTGACAACAGTAAGAGCTAACGACCTGTGGTTTGAAGCAATCGAACGAGGAAAACTCGATTTGAAGTCACAAATGTGCATAGTTATGCTTTGTTAACTCTAGTTCCGAGAATCATTTTTCCTATAACTTAGCGACAGTTCACGCCTTCAGTGTTATTAAGTAATTTAATTTCGTTTGAAGATAATTAAAGTGTGTCTACTGAATGGTGCTAATCTTTCTTATTTTGTTTTTACCATTTCATGTTAGTTCGCTATTGAATTGACAATTTGTGTTTACTGGAGGTTATAATTATCAAAAATAAATGCTTACATAAGAAATGAAGGAAATAAGATTTTTCAACTTCGATATAAAACTCATTGAAGCATATGCCTAACTCCAAAGTACACAGAAACGGAACACCATTGACTGTTTTGCGAATGTGAGAAGTTGTAAAATAATATAAGAGATACATGTTTTTTTTTTAGTCTTGATTACATTCGATTTCGTTTTCAATAAATCTAATCTAATATCAATCGAAAAATATATCTTAATTTTATTAGTTCACTCGATAAAAAATTCACTTTTTTACGGATCATTTCTTCTAAATTTGATTTTCGTCGGTATAAATTAAAAGATTATCCAATTAAAAAAAAAAAGCATTGAAATAGAAATATCAATTTCGAGTGGGACATTATTATTCTCGTTGTAGGCTATCCCTCAGAAAAAATTTAAGTATTATATTCAAAGCGTTAATCGTATTTTTTATCTCTAGGGACTAATAATAAATGATAAATAAGAATCAATTCCTGTTACAATTGATATCCTCGCAAAAATCTGTAACTCTTTCACTTTTAATTAATCATCACTCCGTGGGAGATTCATTTTCTAATCTCACAAACATGAATCATCATCTATTTTTGGAAGCACATGAATATAATATGCGGCGCAAATCAAGAAAAGGGTTAATGCCATCTTTGTAAGGACCTTGCCTTCTTGATAAAAAATATTGTTTTTTTCTTGTTCCGTTCGATATGTATACAAATATCTCTGTGTCATATCAATGATTAGAATCTAATTCAAGAAGAGCCTATCTAAGTTTTGATGATTTTTTTCGTCATCCGAGAGATTTTAATTTCGAAAAAGTTGAATTATAGAAGCACTTTTCATATTAGCAAAGTATCAGCATGTACGTAACATCTTTTATTTATATTAATTAGCAGAACAATCCAAATACATTATGTATCCATCAGACTTGTTTAAAATAACTCGTTACATAGATGACATATTCATGTACGAAACCAGATAGGGTTAAAATATGTTAATAATTAGATTGATCATGAAAGCACCAAATATTTATCAATTACTCTATGCTATTATGAGAAACAGATCTTAACGATGTACTATATAAAATTCTAAGCATGTAAAATATGATAGACTAATTATTTTTCTAACAGAAAAATAAATATTGAAAAAAGTCTATCAATGAGCTTTTCCATTTAGATAATCGAATCTCTATCAAAATCTATTTATCAATAAAGCTAGAAATTAAAAAAATCGTACTTCTATATATGAAGTTCATTTGGTCAGTTTCGTGCTATGTTGAACTACTTGAAAAACCTTCGATTACTTTAAATTTTCTTAATATATCCACACTTAAAAACACTCTAGATTCTGCAAACATAGGTTTTTCTGCTTCTCCTGAATAATAAGATGTTCTGAGAAAAGACCTAGATTTTCATCCTTTTCACTTAACACAATCCACCATCTAGGCCGATGTATATTTATTAAATTCAATGTAAGAGAAAAGCAAACACAAATTGTACTATTCTATAAATATTACAATGATTTAATTAGAAAAAATGAAATTAAAAGCTATTAGTGCTATCTCTGCAGGATTTAAATATAAAACACGATGTAGCTAAGTAGTTCATATATATATGTTATAACGAAATATTATTGACATACGGTCTCACACGCAAGAATGATCCAAATTTTTACTTCTATATTTCAAAACACCTTTTAAATCGTGTTACACAAAAAGTAGAACATCGATGACTGTTATTCTCGATGTACTCAAAACTACCTCTACATACTTTTCCATTTGAAATATATTTTCTTCGAATTCAAAAATTTTATTTATTATCTGCTCAAATCCACAAGAACATCGACCTGCAACTCCCTAATTCTATTATTACAAAACTTCTATATGATTAACTAGCAAAAGTTGAAAAAGTAATAACTTACAATTCTTTGTAACATGCTAACATTTCATCATAATTTTCCATTTTAAAATAAATTTTCATCATTTGTTTAAGTGCTTTAAAACCCCAATCACCTTTTTCACCACTTTTTTGTTCTAATGCTAAAACTTTTTTAAAACTTTCAATAGCAGCAAACGGATCATCTTCTTTTAAAGCTTTTGAATTATAATATTGATTTTCAAGATCAGCATCTGGTTCTTCATCTGTATTTTCGTAATCAAGTTCAAAATCATCATTACCATCCATACCGTCATCGTCCGACATTTTGTTTTCTTTCTTTTTTTTTTTCAAATCTGAAACAAATAAACACACAAAAAATTAGTTTCTAAACAAAATATTTTACAAGTTTGTTAGGGTTCTCTCCCCTACTCCAACTTTATTATTCTCTTTTCAAAAAAAAAAAACCAAAAACAAAGGCAGAAAAATTCTCCATTCCAATCGCAGAAGACGTGCACATATCTCTTAAGATAACCGAATCAGAATATGTGAAGACGAAATGAAAAAACAAAATTAAAAATGAAATAGAAGGGTATGTACGAGTGCGACATCACTGTAACANTCAAAGAGATGACTTAATTCTGTTTTAATTTTTCTGGCAACTTCATTGGTTAATTCAGTTTTAATTCGCGTAGTCTGTCTGAGGCCTAGAATTAGAATAAATAAACAAGAGTAAGACAAGCAACATTTCGACATTGGCGGCACAAATAAGCAAAGTATTTTTTCTAGTTTGCAGAAATACTGTGTTATACGGGTACGAAATTTCGAAATCGCACCCTGACCGAAGCTAAATGATATCTCGCAGATACTTTCATAGTCACAATATGGTTCGCAAATTTTTATTTGATATGAAAAATTACATTATTTGGTTTCTTCCATAAACGGCGACAGAAAAAAATAGAAATTATCTTAAATTCCACAAAAAAGCAATTCACTGGATGTGTCATTTTGCGTCTAAAGTCAGGTCGGTACCCGATCGAGTAGCATAACACTATTACAAAGTACCCTGAAGAAGCTTTGTTTTTTGTAGTTAAGTGAAAAAAAAACAGTATTTTGCTTTTGCTTGAGGTACCCAGCATTGGAAACATTGCTTGGAGAGTTGAAATATTATGTTGAACATGAATTGGATCATCGGTTGATTACAAAGATGACATAAGATATAATTATTTGAATAGAGGTCACTAACAAATATGTTCGACAGATAATTGGTTGATTCATTCATTTCTCCCGCAAGCCGTATTGGATAAATATACAGTTCTCTGTCTTGTCACTTTGTCTTTTCTTCTGTGAAAACTTCACTTCTTGACACATAAATCAATATATTTTAATGACAATTAATTATCTAAGTTTATTTATATATTTGTTTTAGAAATGTTAGAACTTTTCATTTATACCTACATTTATTATTCTCTTAAGCATTAACGATAAAAAAATAAAAGATATGCGTAATTTTATTACAATCGAAGAGAAAGGTAGTGTTCGTGAATTTATTATTAGCGATCTTAGTAATATCGGTTTGCGTATTGATACAAATAAACATCGTAATGTAACCATTGGTCAAACATCTCCTCATATATCTAATAATTCAAAACATCAACGTGGAACACGTGTATTTAATGTACCTCTACATCAAATGGATACAATCTCAGTAAGAATAGATGATTTCGATGTAACAATACCAATCTTTTTACGATGGTGTTTTGATTGTATACGTCGTTCAATCAAACATGAAGGTCTCTTTCGAAAATCAGGTGGATCTCAACGTGTTAAAGAACTTATGGTAAATTCTACTGCTATAATTAGTTCATTTTTGTTTTAAACAAAAATGATTTACACTTTCTTTTTTATATTGATTAGGCTCGTATTGAAGATGGTTGTTTAACACCTAGTTTATCATCATCGAATACAGTATTCGATATTTGTTCATTGTTTAAAGAATTTCTCCGTCGTCTTACATATCCATTAATAACATATCCTATACAAGATCTTTTACTTGATTGTTTTTCAATGCGTACATTATCATCAGATAAAAAACTTGATATTTATATTAATATTCTTTTACTTTTACCCGATGAACATTTACATGCACTTATTTATATCTTACGTTTTTTATATGAAATAACATTAAATGAACGTGATAATAAAATGAATGCTAAAAATTTAGCTATTTGTGTTGGTCCTGGTATAATGCGTACATCAATTGATGGTAAAATAAATATAATGACTGAACAATGTGCTACAAATGTAAGTGATATTGTTGAAATATTAATTATAAATGCAATGAAAATTGGTTATGTAACGGATTCAATTTATGAACGTTCACAAATGCTCTTAGAAATGAGACAAAAAGAAATTGTACAAAATGGTGATGATAGTTTTGCTATTGAAAATGGAGTAAGAAATGGTATTGGTGGTGGTAAAATAAATGATAAAGTTAATGCAAAAAAACGACGTAGTGGTTCTGTTAAAGGTATTTTAATAAGATATATGTTTATTTTTTATCTTTATTTTTTTTGTTTTGTTTATTATTGTAGAATTTCTTGTTCATATGACTAATCGATTTCGTCGTCGATCTGGGTCGAATAATAATGATAGTCGGGATCAAACAAATCCATTTTTAGATCGAAGTGGTAAATTATCATCATCTCATACACGTGAACATCGTTATCATTATCAACAAAATAGTATTAATGGGCATTGTTTATCAGCATCATCAACTTCAAGTACAACAACTAAACGAAAATCGAGTGATGATCCAAATGGTGGAAATTCAAAACGAGGGTAAAAAAGAAGTTCATTGTCTGAATACAAAGGTCGACATTTTCTAGTATGATTGAAATCTGATCAAGAGAAAAAAAGTATTGAGATATAATTTAGTTCAACTAGCTTACATGGAATCACCAACGTATAAACTAAAAAGAGAAACTTTTGTTTCAAATAAATTATCTGCTCGTGAACACAAAGATGTGTTTTACTCGTAGATCTGACAAAAAAACTTGCATTGCGCATTTTGCACGAAAGATGTTGATTGAAAAAATAATTACCTATGACTCTGAAATCAAGTTTTTCAATGTCAGAATACAGAAAAATGTTCAATTTTATGCTTTAAAATTGTTAGCAGTACATAGTCGTAGTATTTGTCAAATAGGGTAATTTTTATTTCTATGTTTCCAACCAATTCGAAACAATAGAACATGGCAGGCATATTGAGAAAATACTGAGAGACTCATTTATTGTACTGTATCCGTTAGAAGGATTATCGACAAAGAAAGTAACTTGTGGCCTCAAAGCTTTGGTTAGACTTGTGATAGCTCTCACTTCTATGAACGCGTTTTCTTTGAGAGCTGGATCTAGTAACGAATTCTTTTCGTGTATGGTAACGTAGCGACTCTATTTAGTTTCTCGATCGCGAAGTACTGCAGGTCTAATACACACCCATTTTTCAGCTACTTAAAGGAAGTTGGTTAGAGCCAGAAGCGCTGGGTTAAAGTCAGATATTTTCGCTATTTATGTATATGTGTTCAGAATTTTCTTCTGAAGTATATTTGGACAACTATGTATGTCATCAGATTATTTCAAAATGCGAAACAATTTTTAATTATGTAAATCTTATGAAGTCAAATAGCAAAAAATTTTATTGTTTTTTTTCTTTTTTCTCCTCATTAGTAAAACAAAAACATCATCACAAGAAAAAATTTCATTATCTAATACTAATCGTTTTACAAGTCCAATAACAGCATTTCGACGAAGAAAGAAAACATCAAATCATAATAATGATCCTGGTAAATTTCTTAATATATATGTTATATTTTCGTATTTATTTTTTTGTGTAAATCAATGTTAAGGTTTTCCTTTCAAAATAGAACACTCACATTTACCACAATTACTTCATTTTACTGATGAAGTTCCTGTACGTTTTATGAATACAATTGTTAATCCAACAATATCAGTTCCACCATCATCAGCAACATCATCATCATCATTATCAACAACAACACCAAGTGGTTCAATGACAACATTAACAACATCAATGATGAGTAACGTTTCACTTGCACATGGTACTCTTCAACCATTATCAATAATACCATCTGAAACACCACCTACATTACTTCCAAATCTAGCACCTATATCTTGTAATAATAAATCACTTGATACAAAAAAGTATATAAATAAAAAATGGAGGAAACAAATTTTTCAATTAATTTCTATTTTAGACTTAATCTGTTAGATTCATGGAAATGGCCAAAATCGACTCGTGTTAGTATAATAATTAACAAATCAAATTCATAGATTATGTGTTCTTTGTATTTTATTTTATTTTAGAAAGTCGAACGAAAACCTCTTATAGCTATTCATGCTCCGATGTTAACAGCATCAACAATAAATTCATCATCATTTACTGAATCATCTCCATCACCAATTAAAGCAACAGATAATTCAATGCAAATATCAACGCAACAAATAGGTGGAACATCATTACTTATGCATTCTAGTTTTGGTGTTCATCGTCGTCATTCCGATGATGTTACAAGTACATCATTTACAACAACAACATTTCGTCCACGTCGTTCAATATCATCAAGTGCTGATCAACAACAAACACGTCATGTTGTTTGTATGCTTAATAATTACTCACATTCATCGTCAAGTCAACAACAAATATCAAATGATGATGATAATAATCAACATATAAATCATAATTTAACACAAGAACATGAAGATGATTCATTTGATGATGATGATGATGAAGATATTGCTAATGAACTTAATTTAGCTGTTGTTGTTGGCAATGAAGATATTCAATCATTAAAAGAATATACAAATGAACAAATCAATACTGAAAATGGTTCACTTAATGTTGCATTTATTGATGAAACAGATTTAGAACGAAATTTAAGTCATAATAAAGCAATCTATGATAATGATCAAGTTCTAACACAATCTAATAATGTAAATATTGAAATGTTAAATATTAAAAATAATGACAATAATAAAGAACAACAAAATTTCGATGAAATTAAAACTAATAATCAAGAATTCAATATACCAATTTTAGTCGATAAAATATTAAATAAAGATAATAATCTTGATGAAATTTTACGACGAAATGAAAATCGTTGTATTCGATTAACAGATTCAGATGTATGTTTAAAGCATTTCATTAAAAAAAAATAATCATACGTTTTTCAATTTATATTTATTAGGATGAAGATTATGAAAATTTTCCTATTAAAAAAACACCAATTGAAAATATAAATACGAGTAAG